GGGTCTGTTTTTTCCCCGACACACACACACGTGTGCGCAGCTGCCTGGGGGGAGGCCTTGGCCCTGCTCCGAGGAAGCTCCGAGCCGCACCCAAGCGAGCCTCTGAAAGGCAAGATTCGAGCCGCTTTCCAGAAAAAAAAAACCCTAACCCTCCACCATCATCACCCCCCGGGCTCACGGAGAAGGAGTTCATTTTGGTGCACCCTGGCCCCACAACGTCTCGGTTTTAAAAGCCTTCTCAGGAAAGAAAATGGGGAAATAATCCCTGGGCGCCTTCCGAACCCGCCCGCCTCCTGCTTCTGCCCGCAGCCCTCGGTTTTGATCACAGGGGAAGAAAGAAAAGAAAAAAAAAACAAGAACTGAAAAAAGAAAAAAAAAAGAGCTGGATCGCGGTGTCTCCTTTTTTTACGAGCCACGGCGCAGCCACGTGAGAGGGGCCGCCGCGGGTACCCCTTCTGGTTGCCAGGATTGCAAAAGGAGACATTGTACAGCCGGAGGAGGCTTTTCAAAAAAAAACACCCTTGGAAACTCAAAAAGATTAGGCAGCAGCCCGTTAAATAACAATTTATAGCAGACCCTTGCAAGTTTCGTTCTGAGGTGGCCGGATCACCTTACGACCAAATAGGAGGCTTGAAGAACTGTACTCAGGCCCACACAAAAGCTTATGAAGAATAAAAGCAGTTTGTCTTATAGGTGCGACATTACCATTTCTAGGACCCCCTTATCCGCGGGATCAGTATCCACTGATTCACTTATCTACTGGCTGAAAATAATAAAAAACCAAGGGTGTATGTCCAGGGTGTATTTACTAGGAGTGGTCACCAGAGGGAGACAGAGACCATGCAGTGTGTCGTGTTTGCTATTTCCACATTTTTCAGCATCCACGTGGAACAGATTCCCCGCGGATACTGTGGTCCTACTGCACTGCTGGATGCCGTAACCCTCCAAATTCTAGTTGCCGAGGAAGACGGTCAGAATAGCTTAGTGAAGTACATTGCACTACAGTAAGCCTATTGAATTAACAGGGATGTCTCCAGCCGACTCCTCATGGGTTCCAATGGGTCTCCTCTAACCGCAGCTTGCTTTAGCCACTCTGGGCGGTTCATAAGAAAGTAAGACAAGAATCAACCATTGTAAAGAAACGACGTTAAATCATATCAACGTGGGGATCGAATAGGATAAAGTCAAGGGTTCTCACGTTAACCTGGATTTTGTTACTGTGGTTGATCTAAGAGGACAGGTAGAAAAAGTGGGGCTTAAAAAGCTCGTGACCCTGGATTGTGCCCAGTGGCAGCTGTGTTGGCTGGGACCTGGGGATCTTTGATACAGGAGTACCTCGCTTGACGAATATGTGTTCTCCGGGATGTTTCGTAATGCGGAAAATTCGTAAACCGAAACGCGGTTTGCCGTAGGAACGGAGGTGGCGCCAGAAACCTCCCAAGCACAAGGCATCCTGGGGAAACTTCCTTCGTAAACCAAAAAATAACAAAACAAAAACGGACACCACCACCCCATAAACCAAGTTTCAATGGATTTCTGTTCGTAAACCGAAAATCACGTTAATCGAAGCGTTCATAAACAGAGGTGCTACTGTAGATCACGGCATCTTGTCTGTGTGGAGACAGGGAGAAGTTTCCCTGGCTTGTCTCCTAGCATTTTTTACCTGCTCCCGTCTGGCAGAAATGTTTAGGTACGAAAATGCAGGCGGCCGGTAGACGGTTTTGTGGGCTACTAAATTTGTGGGTTCAAAGGTGTGGGGTTTTTTGGGGGTTTTTTTGAGTGTGCGAGTTCTTCTCTTTGAGCGCTTTCCTCTTCCTGACGGCAGGCAGCCGGACAAGCTGATCGTGGTCTGGACCAGGAGGAACCGGCGCATCTGCTCAAAGGTACGTCTGTTTCTCACCTGGCGGCCCCTTCGGACAGGTGAGAGCCATTTAATTCTACCCATCGTTCCTTGGAGGCTCCTTGGTTGAGAACTACATGCTAACAGTTGGCGGGGGTCGGATCCAGAGCTGTTCTTTCTCCCTTTTCCGCAGGGGTGGGAACTTGAGGCACGAGACACAAGACTTGCTACCAAAGGGTCAGATTCGGACCCAGAGAGTGGCCGCCCTCTCTGCTCCCCCCCCATCCGTCTGCTCGCTTCTTTCTCTCTCTGTTTCTCCGACTCTGCCCCCCACGTCTCTCCTTCCTTTTCCCCTCCTTCCTCGAATCCTGAACTGGAGCCGACGCGACTCGGCCGAGGTCTGTCGTCTGCAGCCCGGCCGCTCTTAAAACGTGGGATTTGGTCTTCGGACAAGACGTGGCATGTTTGAAGATCCTGTTTGGTGTGTCGATTTGTTTTTGTTTTTTTTTAAACATCCCTCCTTTTTTTCCTCTCTCTTTCTTTCATCTTTGCAGGCCCACAGCTGGCAACCAGGGATCAAAAATCCGTACCGGGGAACCGTGGTATGGATGGTTCCCGAGAACGTGGACATCATGGTGACCCTCTACCGGGTAGGGCAGGCGTGGGTGGGTTCCAGCCCGGTCGGAATCATTTTTTTGCGAGCCATCAGCTGTGCATGTGACACACATACACACATGCATATACAACCACACACACGAGAGGCTTCCTCTCTTAGCTTTCCTAGGGCAGCTGAGTCTACCCGTCCTACACCTCTTGCCACGGCCCGCTAATTAAATAATATACAGTTTTATAATTCCATTCCTCTGTTGTCACCTTGTCTATTATCTATATCCTCATGGGGATGTCGTATAAATATATAGGCCACATTTTTGCACTCCAGTGTCTTCAGAAGTGGACTTTGATACCTGCAAAAGCTCGCACAGAAATAAAACGGCTGGTCTTTAAAATGTGACACTATTTTGTTCTCCTTCTGGTTATTATTATTTTTTCGTTCTTTCTTTCTCCAACTTGAGAATCGAAACCTTAGCATCTTTTGGCGAGCCTAGCAAAGACCCTCTTCCGCCTGGCGAGCGTCTGCCGGTCAAAATAGACACGACTAGCCTGGGTAGTCAGATAGACTGCCCTGGTACAGTGGTGCCTTGCTTAACGAGTGCACCGTAGAACAACAAAATCGCATAGCGAAGAGGTTTTAGCGATCGCAAATGCGATCGCATACCAATGGCCCCTATGGGCAAAACTCGCTTTGCGATGATCGGTAAGCGTTTCGCTTACCGATTTCGCAAAGCGATGCTTGATGATCAGCTGTTCAGTGGTTCCAAAATGGCCGCCGGAAGCCCTGAAATGGCCGCACGCAGCATGGTCAGATAGACTGCCCTGGTATAAGGTGGCTCGTCTGCGTTCGACAGCCGCGCTTTGATCCAAACGGGGTCTGTACCTCAGCTGTTTGTAGGTTTGAGGGCTGGCCTGTCCCAGTGACCCACATCTTACTTCTCTCTCTCCAGGACCCCCACGTGGAAGAATACGAAGACAAGGAGTGGACCTTTGTGATCGAAAATGTACGTGGGTAGAAAGAGCTGCCTTCCAGGGGAAGCGGGGTGGAGAATCGTGGTGGGCCTAAACAACCCAGGATTTCGGACTTTCCTCTTTAAGAACCTGGAGCCAACGCTCCAGAGGTTGAAGGGGAAGGAGTCCGGAATATCCCAAATGCCTGAGATTCACCCCACCCGGACCTAAATATCAGGGCGTGCGTTCCTAGAAATTCCCCAGTCCTGCTGCAGACTTATCTCGGCCAGCTTTTGCAAAACATCCACGCCCAGATGATCTAAGAAGTGGCCAGTTTCACTCTGGAAGCAAGAAAAAAAAATATATATTACATTTTACTTATCCACAACTTGGAATTTCTACCTGGGTGCCTCGGCCGGTCTTAGCCCCCAAAGAGAAGTATAAAAAAACAGAACCCAGAGAGTTGTTTCCAGAATCCCCAAGTCAAGGGTGGGTGAAGCGCCACGGAAATATGAAAAACAGGAGGAGGAGAAATAGATCAGAGGTTGTTCTGATCTGCGCTGTCACCTCCAATGTTAAAGTAATGCCCATTGCTTTGTGGTGAAAAACACCAGTTCCTCTTGGGTTCAGAGCAGAGGCGCACAGAGACATGGCCATCTCGGCATCAGAGCAGAGGCGCGCAGAGACATGGCCATCTCGGCATCAGAAGAGTTGAGAAATTACATGTGGCGGACACACCAGGCAAAAGATCTCGACCGAGGAAAACTGCTGACTGAGCAGTAGTAGGATGATGCCCTGGGACCCGGGGCAGCACCGCTCAGTTATAGATAGCTCCAGCCTGTCCTTATATTCCTTTTTTTAAAAAACAAAAACAATCCAGACTTCCTGGGCCCTATGTAAAGGTTTGTCCGAGCATATTATGTTGTTTACTTTAATCACAAGCGAAGCAGGAAGAAAATGAAGGTCAAACTACCTTGGCGAATAAAGCCATAAAGGAGAGTTTACAGTCTCCAGGGACTGGTTTTAATTGTCTGGCGCAATAGCTGGCGAAAATAAGCGGCAAACGCTTCCTTGATAAGGAAGGCTGTGTTTTATCTCGAGGACCCAGGAGATCGGGTGAGGCAGCCGGGGCCCCACAGAGTGGGAGTGGACGATGGGATAGATAATCCTGGCCTCTGGGACGCGGTGTGGCGTCACCCGAGGAACATTGGGCTTGCGAGTCCAGAGTTCGAGTCTCCGCTGAGGAAATTGAGTGACTCGGGGCCGGGCCGGCATGTCCGGCTTGCTCTACCTCGGAGGGTCGTTGTGAAGTTAAAATAGCGAGAGGAGGGCCATGTGTGGTCCCCGCACTTGTTGAAGGAACGGCAGAATAGAGATTTAGCAAAGGCATAGATTGAATGCACAGGGATTTGGTTTATATCCCCTGCAGTGTTCTTTCTTTAAATTATTATTATTATTTTGGGCTGACTCTCTCTTGTTTGCACGCATGCACGCACGCCACCCCTGCAGGAATCCAAAGGCCACCGGAAGGTCCTGGCCTCGGCCGACATCAACCTCAAGCGCTTCGCCAGCCCCACGCCGACCCAGGTGGACCTGAACCTGAAGCTCAAGCCGCGCTCGGTGAAGGTGGTGGCGGCCACGCTCCAGTTGACGCTCTCCTGCGTCTTCCTGCGCGAGGGGAAAGCCACGTGAGTGCGTGCCCTGGGTGCGAGATACTGTCAGAGGACCCTCCCCTGTTCGGGATGTAAATCTTGGCCCCTTGGGGAAAAGGTCCGGTCTACTGTCGGCGACGATCGATTCATTTTTTGGGGGAGGTGGGTGTCGTCAAGCAACAGGATGCCCGATTTCAGCTGAAAGTCAGGGAAAGCGTTTCAAATATTAGAGCCAGGAGCCCATGACTTCGGCAGATGACGAGCACTCCAACGTTGGAGGCATTCCAGAGAAAATCGGACCACCGTCTGCAGCTCTGCCTTGTTTTGGGTTCTTGGATAATTGAATCAGTGGATACTGATCCTGCGGATATGGGGGCCCTACTGGACAACTATAATTTTAAAGTTAATTTTATAGTTATTAAAGCTGTATCACTTACATCCACCCTCTTTTTCTTAATTTTTATTATTATCATTATTATTATCATTATCATTATTATTATTATTACTATTATTATTACTATTATTATTACTATTATTATTGTCTTCCCAGGGCTGCGGGTGATAAATCATCTTAGCAGCCACATGCAGAGTCTGGCAAGCTTGATGAGTGTCAAGCCTTCCGACATTGGCAACCTGGACGACTTCGCAGAGAGCGATGAGGACCTGGCCGAGGACGCCCCAAAACAGAGCCGGCGAGAAGATGGTGTGGGGCAGGAGGAGAGGCCTCCCAAAAGTGAGGGGGTGGACATCCTTCCTTCCCAGAGACATCACGACCCTACAGATACCTGCCCCCTGAGCAGTAAAGGTTTAAAATCACATCAGAACCCCCTTATCCGCGGGATCAGTATCCACTGATTCACTTATCCCTGGTCTGAAAATAGGTTAAAGAGAGAGAGAGAGAGATTTCTAATTATGAAGTCACCAGAACTGGTCACTAGAGGGAGCTAGAGAGCGTGCTATGTACAGTATTTTTCCATGTATAAGACTATGGTCTAAAATTTTTACACTAAAAATTGAGGGTCGTCTTATACACGGAAGTAAGCTGAGGAGAGAACAAAAACAAGTGGAGGGGAAAGCAGGGATCAACGCTGTCCTACAGCACTTTGATCCCTTTCTCCCCACCTTGCTAAGCCCCACTTAGATTTCCTAATCCCCTCCCCCCGCTAAGCCCCACTTAGATTTCCTAATTTCAGATTAGAAAAGTGGGGGGGCGTCTTATACATGGGGGCGTCTTATACACGGAAAAATACAGTATACAGCCTTCACTAGGGGAATATACTTCCACTGTATTACCAGAACTGGCCGTGAGAGGGAGCCAGCGAGCATGCTGCGGATTGCATTCGCTGTCTAAACAGAGTTTGCTGTAATCCGCGGTTTTCAGCACCCACGGGAGGGCTTGGAACCAATCCCCTGTGGATTTAGGAGGCCCTACTAGATAATAAAAAGTGACATGGATGAGTAACTTTCTGGGAGCAGGACGTCTCAGAGTTTGGTAAGAGAAGCGTTAAACATTGTCACGTCGTCAGGGTCGAACCGAACCAAAAGATCCTCCTGTCCAAACATTTCAGCGGAGTGAAAAGAGAGAGAGGGAAAATGACTAGGAAGCAGAGAAGGCGGGGCTCTCTCTTGGAATCTGGGAGGCAGGGAAGGAACCATTGGTTCCTGCTGGCTTGATTGACGGCCCAGAAACGGTCCCTCCCAGCCGGACCTGCTAAAGGCAGCACGCGAGGTTGCAATAACTCCCCACGCTAAGATCCTTCCACACGGGCTTCGTCCTTCCTGTTCTCTCGCTGGGAGCACCATTAACAACGCATGTGTTTTCAAACCATCATCTGTGCTGGCTCTTCCCAGCGTCCTCTCTCTCCCCCCCTTCCCCATATTGACCTGCCTTCACCCCTTCGCTTCTCTCCCGGAGTCACGCTTCCCCCCATTTTCTCTCTCCCTCTTTGTCTCGTCCGTTCAGGGCCCCTCAAAAATGTACTGACAGACTATTTTCCAGGTGAGCTACGTTCCCAGGTAAAGTGGGGTGTGTGTGTGTGTGCGGGCTTGAAGTTTGTGATTTTTGCTAACAGGCGCTAACCAGCATTTTCAACGCCAGAGGGGCAGCATCCTCAGCCCCCTGCCTCCCCCCCGTGTCTTTCCAGGCCTGCGGTAGGCGTTTTGTAATGCTTCTCTTTCCCACAATCCCCTCTTGCTTGGGTTGCTGCTCCTTCCAGGGCGGAGATGGACTACAGGTCCCATAATCCCCCTCTGTACACGGCCACTCCAAGCTAGCAGGGAGATTTGGGGGGGTGGGTGAGGGGGTGTTGTAGTGTCCAGAAGAAGAAACACTTCATTTTAATTTATTTATTCTAACACTTAACGGTGGAACTCCCTGCCACCAGACACAGCTGAGGATTGCAGGGGGCAGGCCATTTTAAGGGAGAAGGTACCAGCAGCAGTGTGTCCATATGCGTGAACTCATGGTCAGTGTTTTTTTTGTTGGGGACTTTCAAATTGCTAGTTAAATTCCTCTGGCTCTGTAGCAGAAGTGCTGGAATTCACGGAGCAGAATTAGCATCAAGTTCCCGATAGTCCACCCCCTTTTTTCTCCCTCATCAACTGGCACTTACAGTTTCAATAACTCCGAGACATGAGTAGTAAGTAAAATAAAAGGTTTCATTTACTTACAGTTGAACAGATGAAAGCAGACAGACAAACGCGGCTGACTTCAACAACAAGCCGCAATAAACTCACTGACCGCAACAGTTTTTGGCCACAGGAGGGAGAAGAGGAAGAGGACATAGTGTTGCTAAATCATGTCCTCCGACAACTGGCCACGAGAGGGATCCTGTTTCTGACACTGGAGATAATTTTAGAACCATCATTAGTAGCTGTTAATAGCACTGTTTAATAGCATGACTTTGACCGACGGCATTTTAAAGCTCAGTTCTGCCCCTGTGTCTGGTGGCAGGGAGTTCCACCGTTAAGTGTTAGAATAAATAAATTAAAATGAAGTGTTTCTTCTTCTGGACACTACAACACCCCCTCACCCACCCCCCCAAATCTCCCTGCTAGCTCGGAGTGGACGGAAGAAGAGGACACGTCCTCCCAGAGTGCCGGCAAAGCTGCTTCGGTCGCCGCTCCTCCCCCTAGGACGTCCCAAAAGGAAGGTAAATGCACGGCAAAAAGTGGGTTTGGATTTGGTGGCCAGCGATCATCAAATAATATATTTGTGTATGTTGTGCAATACAGGAGGACTCTCGTATCTGTGGGATCGGTATCCACAAGTTCATTTATCCATGGTCTGTAAATATTAAAAATTTGACATCAAAAAAACCCCAGAAAATACATATTTCAATGACGTAATTCCCAGAACTGGCCGCTAGAGGGAGACAGAGACCATATTATGTAGGAGGTTCTCTATTATCCGCGGGTTTCAGCCATCCATGTAGGACAGCGGTCCCCAAACCATTGATGTAGGAGACTTCTCTGACCATCGGCAGCTCTCTGGGGCTTCGGGCGTTGTGTAATGTGTAGCCTCTAGTAATGTAGGCTAAGAGAACCATATCTCCCTGCTTTGAGTTCAGTAGAAATGAGGCAGTCTACAGGCCAATCATCATCATCATCATCTTGGATGGATGGATGGATTGAATCGCCCGCCTTTCTTCCAGTAAGGTGGCTGACGTACAGTTTTGATTAGTTACAAGTAGTTACTTCTCTTTAGTTACTTGTAATTAGTTATGTTTTTTCTTACTAATAAACAGCTGGGCTTTGTTGTCTTTCTCCCCCCCCCCTCCGCAGCCGTCCTCGAAGCCCCCAGGGGAGCGGACGGCACCAGCGATGGCAGGAGGCAGGACCTCAGGGGCGCCCCTCATCCCACGCCCCTCGCCGACTCCGTAGCCGCCCCCCATGCAGTAAGTGGTGCCGAGCGCACTGGGAGTGTGGGGTTCACAGGGGCGACCGGTGGACGGCCGGGAGGACGGACTGGCATCTCAGGAGGGCTGGGCACCCGGGACGGCACCGCGACGGGAGCTTCGTTGGCGTTGGCACGGGCTGGGGCCGAAGAGGAGGAGGAAGGCGACGCGGAGGTGAGGTGAGTACCGTGTCCGCTGGGGAAGGACCGGGGATGAAGCGGACAAGACAGGGCAGAGGAGGGGGTATACCAGGGCCAAATTGGAAGGGGTCCCCCCCCATCCTGCTTCAACCATCCATAGCATTTCACGAGAAGGCAGGGTTCTCCAGAAAAGAGCCTCCTGCTGGCAGAGGCAGCAGGAAAAGAGGAAGATCCCCCATACGGAATGGGCAGACTCCCTAAAAGAAGCCACGACACTTGAGTTTAGAAGAGCTGAGCAGGGCTTTTAAGGGCTGGACCTTTTGAAGACAACTTCACGGCACATAACAACACAACAGCACTTTGTTGAAACGATGATCAAGCCAACAGATAGCGAAGGCCATCCTGGGGGTCCCTTCCCTCTTCATTATCCCAGCGATGGCTCTATTTTAATTTATGTATCCATGTGTCGCCCCCTTTTAAGGCTGTCTTTCGCCCCCACAGTTGGGACTCCAGGCAGCCCACACAGATCCTTAAAAAAAGGACAGTGCTTTTTAACGCCAACCTCTGGAGGAAAAAAGCCTTTAAAAATATATATATATTCGACACAAAAATAGGAAAGGCATGGTTCAAATTGAAATTAAGAAATAGAAAAGGGTTTTAAAAGCACGGTGGGAATGAATAATACGCTGGCAGCAAACCTAGGGGAAACCGGCTATGTTAAAATGACGTGTCAAAGGCTCAGAGCCCACTAGAATTTTAAAAAGGTTTTAATAGTAGCATAGAGGTGAAGGAAATCCCCCTCCTTCCCACGTTCAAGCCAGATAGACTATGGCGGTAGGGTGATGTTCTGCCTCCCGCTTTAGCAGGAGTCCTGATTTATTGCCTCTCGCCTCCTGGGGCTGCTGGAAAAAATGCTGGTTTTTAATGTAGGCAACCCACGCCAGTGGGTCACCGGGGTTTCAGTGAAGGTGGATTCTGAAGGGAAGGTGCTTTTAACGGGACGTTCCCCATACCCAGGCCTTCTGAAGGAGAGCTGATTAAAAAGGCAAGACGGGTTGGATTGATTTCGATCATCCCCTCCTAGCCGTTCTCATCTGCCCCGGGAATCGGCTCTTTTGTAAAGCCAACAGGTCTTGACTACCAATTAGAGAGGAAGGCGCTCCTAACATGCTTGGCATGACAGGAGGGAGATTGATTTGAGTCAGTGGGTGGGTCAGTGGTCAAACTCCCGCTGTCCCCCCTCCCAGCGGTCGTGAGAATGGAAGCCCAGTTTGTAAGAGAACGTGTTTTGTGGGTCAAAACGTTCTAGCGCTGCAGCGCTATGCGCCTCTGGGTCATGTCGGTAGAGAAGAGAAGCTCGTGGCTGCTTTTCCCTTGCAAGAAAAAGAAGCTCGGAGTGGTGGGCTCAGAGAAAACGGTTCCCCCGCTGAGCCCCAAAAGGAAGGTTTTGGAGGTCTCAGACCCCCCTGATGCTTCTGGGAAGGAGGAGTAGGCCAAGGAGGGTCACCTTGGTGGTCGGTCTCCTTGGTGGCCCATGGCCTCCATGCTTCCTTAGGGGGTAGGAGATGTGGGGGGTCATGAACACTTCATCCTCTGTGGGTCTTCTTTTTAAATCTATTGGAGACTGTTGTGTTTCGGCACCTTGTCGGAATCCGTTCTCTTCACAGTCTCTCTCTCTGTGGCGGCGTGGGAAGATTCTTTCCAGAGATGGGTCCACGTTACGTGGCGTGGGGGCAACCCCGTGGATGCCCCTTGCTCAATGTGGGCCTCTCCTCGAGGGGATCTCTCCAAATGGCCGCTGGAGAGGGTAGCCCTGTTTATTCCGGCTCGGGGAAGAATAATAATAATCAGGCACGTCCAGGGCATCAGCGCTGGCGTAGTTATACCTCCAAAAAATTTCATTATTCATTTTTTTCTACCACCCACCTGGCCGAAGGCCACTCTGGGCGGTTTGCCACAAATATATATATATAACCAGCGTCATCCGGGTCGCCCTCTGCTCAACTTGTTCCGGTGTGTCAGCCTCTTTCTTAAAATGTGGGGTGTCCAGAATTTGGACCCAGGGCTGTCGGTGAGGCCGAAGTAGAACGAGGACTTCACAGGACTCTGAGACTATCCTTCTGTTAATGCGGCCTAAAACGGCATCGGCCTTTTTTTGCAAATTTTACATCTTGCTCTTTTGATGACATTCCTCCTCCTTCAGGGAGCTTTCCTCCCCTGCGTTGTCACTCATGTCTCTCTTCCCCCGACTTTATCCTTAAAACGACCCTCTGAGGCTGGCCAGGCTGAGAGAGTTTGACTGCCCCAAAATCTGACCCAGTGAGGTTCACATCCCAATGAGAATTTGAACTCGGCTCATCCGGCTTCGTGGCTGTTTTGGCGCTCAGCCGCTGCCGCCGGGTGCCGAAATAGACCCTGGGGCTCTCGGTTGGGGTGAGGGAGGGAGATGGTCCCCTCTGGGGCTCGGTCTTCAGGATGTTATTTTTCCACCCTTTATTTCTTGCTTGCAGGCCGACTGAGATCTGGAAACCAAGAGAGGAGCCGCCTGTGTCTGCGCCACGGAGGAAAAAGAGTCCCCTCAAGTCGCCGGCCCCGGCCCCGGAGGGATCGCTCCTGACTTCGTCCTCGCCGGAAGCCCCTCCGGCGCCCAAATGTCGGCTGGAGAAGTTGCCCTCGGCCCCCAGGCCCCCGAGCCCTGTGTTGGAGACGGCCGTCCCTCTTGGGGACAGCTCAGACCACCTCAACATCGCGTCCGTGGCCCCAGAGAGCCCGCCCAAGGAAAGCTTAGAGGCCCCAAGTCTGGGCGAATCGGCCTCCTCTCCCTCTCGGCCCCGCGGCCCGGTGGTGGCATGTTTCATCGAAGACCCGGCCCTCGCTCAACATGACCCCGTTTTTGTCGCCTGCGAAGCGGGTCCCCGGGGGTCGTCTTGTGACGCGGCGTTCTTGATCTTATCCCCTGTTTTGGGACCGTCTCCCGTGGCACAGGCTTTTGGAGAGGCCACGGCTGGCGGCCTCCAGAGCGGAGAGAAAGCCCCTTTAAACGTGGCTTCTCCAGGACTGGAAAGGGGTCACGTCACGGTGAAAGCGGAGGAGAGCGGTTTCGCAGGAGGTGGCGAAGAGGCGGCACAGCCTTCTGGAGTTGGCTGGCTCGCTCTAGGATGCCCAGTTGACCCTCCAAGGGGTGGCGCGGAGGCGAAGCAGGATGCCACCGAAGGCGGTGAAGCGGGACGTTCAGAGGGAGACGTGGAAACAGACCAGAAGCCCCCGTTTGGGGCCGAAGCCAACTGGGAGGCCCGCGGAGCTGCTTCTGGGGAGGGGCCCCCTTTCTCGCTTTCTCCAGAAGCCCTTCCTGAACTGGAGGATCGTGGCCTGGGGGGTGAGGCCGATGGGGAGCGATCCCAATTTGAGCGGCCCCAAACCCCCACCCCACCCACCAATGTTTTCAGGGACGAGCCACCACCGGAGAAATTACCCAGGGCAGAAGAGGACCAGACGGACAGTGGAGATGAAGGCAACCGCCGTCTGCTCTCATCCGAGCTGGAGGTCAGGGAAAAGGGGGCAGAGATGGTCCCGGTGGAAATGCCCGCAGCTGCCCCCCCCAGCCCGGAGAGATGTAGAGAAACCGAGAACGTTACAGCGGCTGCTGAAAGTGGTCCTCCGAGCCCGTTAGAAGCGCCCGCCATGCTTTCCGAGTCAGCACGGGAGAGAGAACGGGCAAGCGATGGAGAGGGTGTGGATGAGAAGGGAGTGCCCAGAGAGCGTGCCCACGACGTGGCAGGAGAGGAGCCATTGGGCGCGGAAGAGGCCACCCCAGGGGAGGAAGGACGAGAAAGCACCCAGGAAGCAGACGGAAAAAGCTTTCCCAGAGGCGTCTCGGAGGCCGGGGCCGTAAAGGCGTCCGAGAGAGAGGAGGACAGGAGCCCTGAGGATCTGGGCCCAGCCTCTGCGGAGGTGCCCCTCGAAGGGGCACAGACTGGCAAGGAGCAACCCGAAAGCCGAGATGCCCCCACAAGACCAGCAGAGGCGCCTGGCGCAGGTTTACCGCCAGGGAACAACGAGCAGGCGGTGGCCTCGGCTGGAATCTCTCACCCCCCAAGCCCTCCCTTGTCTCGAGGATCTGCGCCCCCCTTGCCAGCTCCCCGAACCCACAGAGAGCGGATCGGCAAGCCCTGCCAGGAAGGCTCCGGCCCGTGCCCCACGCCCCATGGTAGCCCAGAGCCAGATTTGGGAGCTGAAGGGGATGCCCAGGTACAGACGGTCATGCCAGCCGCCTCCTTCCGTCAGCATCCGGGTCGCCGTCCGAACTCTTAACCATGTGGCTAACGCTGGCCGGGGTTGGGAGGGGGCCGTCCTGTTTGGGGAAGGGGGCAGAGGGGCGCTACAGCCGTGGTTCCCCGGAAAAAAAAAAGTTTCAGCCCTCACTCCCACTTCGATTCTTTGAAATGCTTGAAATCCTGGAAAAATGAAGGCGTTTTTTCTCCCCTCCAAAAAATGCTTTCAAGCGATCTGGGTGGGGGATTCAGGGCAGGTGCCCGGAGAAATAAAAGGCCCAATTGTGGGGGTGTTTTTTTGCTTTTCACACTCCGCAATACAGCTTTTGGGATATTCAGTGTCGTGGATAGAGTGACAGACTAGGATTCGGGAGTCCCGAGTTCGAATTCTTGCTGAGTTCGAAACTGACTAGGGAGTGTCCCAACGGGTGAAACCTCTCCTTAATTTTCTCACTTGCTTTGAAAGCCGCAGGAAGTCAATTTGGACTTGCAGCTGTTGCTTGTATGTACTTGTAAAGTTCGGCATGTGTCGGCTGCGCACAGATGGCGGATCTGGACCTTAGTACTGTAGCTAGAGTGGGAACACTTTTGTTAAATGTAACAGGCGTAAACCTCTTGTGTCAGACTGATGATGCTTGATATTCATCTTTTTTTTAGGGTTTCCCTCAAGAAAAATAGACGTCACTCGAATTTAGCGCTCTGGATGTTGTTAAGGCTGTTTAGTTTCTTCCTTTTTTGTTGGAAAAACTGCAGGAAATATCCGGGAGGAATTAGAGCAAATGGCCAGAAACAGTTAAAAGCACGATTGCAGTCATGCTGTTTCTCTCCAAAGACATGGCAGAAAATGCATGTTTTTTTCCCCTCCCTTCTGTCCCTGAAATACGTGGCAGTTCTTTAAAAAGCTGGTTTTTCATCTAGACTGGTGAGGGAGCTTTTGTCTAATTTTTTTGAAGGTCTGTGTCTCACGCCAACCTTGGCCCCAAAAAATGGAATCGCCTTGCGTTCCAAAAAATCGGAAGGGGGGCAAAGATTCGCACTCGGGTCTGGAGAACGTGCCAGGAGCGGGAGCTCCGTGGGAGATGTTATAACAAGGGAGGCTATCCGAAGGAGGCCCATGACCAGCTTTTCTATCTACCCTGCACCTTTCAGGTCGAGTCGTCCCCCAGCAGCCCGACCCTCGTGAGCTCCAGCCAGTCCTTATTGGAGTGGTGTCAGGAGGTGACGTCCGGCTACCGGGGTATCCGCGTTACCAACTTCACCACCTCTTGGCGCAACGGCCTCGCGTTCTGCGCCATCCTGCATCACTTCCACCCGGAGATGATGTGAGTTGTGGGGATGTGCACGCAAGGCAGGCAGGCAGGCAGGCGTTGGTGCGGATGCAAAGTTAGGCTCGAGTGCCCGACTCTCGACGGCAAATGTTGGCCCTCCGCACAACCAAGATCCCTGGGGGAAAACCTGAAATCTCAGGCAGCCGACGGGCACGTTTTTCATTTTTATCAGGAGCAGGTCTTTAGTAGGGCTAATGGAGTTGAATTGCCCGTCCAAAATCAAGACACGCCAGATACCTTTGCAGAATTAGAGGGATAAAATATGACTGCATATATTTCGCTAGGAAAATCGGGTTCTCCCTCTGGGACTTTCTCTACCTCTGTGAGTTTTGCTCAGAGGGAGTGAGAATCTGGCACAGCTGTGTGTGTGTGAACGAGCTGCTGGATAGTTCAGTGGTTTCGTTCTCTGGCCGAAGTTGGGAGTTTGAATCCCCCCCTGGGCCACCCTGTCAGGGGCTCGACTGGATGATCTTTGGGGGTCCCTTCCGGCTCTGCAGTTCTAAGATGATTAAGAAGGAGGTCATTTTCCCTGCCAGTAATCAGTTCTGATGCCGCCACCCTTTGCCAAGGAGGCAGCCGAGAGGGAGAAGAGAGTGGGGTTGAGTGGTTATTGGATGGGGTGGTTTCCTGCTTAGGGGTAGCCAGAGGCCATTCGTGGGCTTGACGCTCCTTCCCTTCTTTCCCCAGCAATTACGAAACTCTGGATCCCCTTGATATCAAGCAAAACAATAAACTGGTGAGTGGACAGACCGTTTTTTTTGGGGGGGCCTGGCCTGTGCTGGCAATCCTCTTGTCTGGGAAGCCCCCCCCTCCCGAAGACCTTCTGGGGAGGAAGGTCACCTTTGGCTGTTGGCCAAGGATCTCTCAGGCGGCCTCAATCATGTGAATCATCCTCTACTCCCTTCCAGGTCTGCTTCGGTATTTGCCGTCGAGGCGAAGGGACAACAGATCCCATTATCTCCCATCGGTTGGTTGGCTGTATTGGTTGGGGTTGATGGGGAATACAGCCCAACAAAAGATGTCTGAATAAATAGTATAATAGGACCCCCTGTGTCTGTGGGATTCGGCATCCACAGTTTCATTTCTCTGCATTCTGAAAATATTAAAACTATCAAAAGAAAAATCCAGAAGAAAATCATATTTCCATTATGTAGTTACCAGAGCCAGCCATTAGAGGGAGCCAGAGACCATGCTAATACATTGAATTATCCATGTTTTTCGGCTTTTAGGGGGGGCTTTGAACAAATCTTCCACAGCGATGGGGCTCCTTTATGTTAGGGGAGGGGTTTGAAAATTTCTCCCACGCTCTCTCTTTTTCTCTCACTCGTTTCACGACTAGGCCTTTGATGGTTTCGCCTCCCTGGGCATCTCCCGGGTGATGGATCCTGCCGACATGGTTTTCCTGGCTGTGCCGGACCGGCTCATCGTCATGACCTATCTGTGCCAGATCCGGGCTTTCTTCACCGGGCAGGAGCTGAACGTGGTCCAGCTCGCCAGCCACACGGGCCAAAGCACCTACAAAGTGGGAAAATTCGACACGGACATCGGTGGTTCTCTGGACCCGTCCCTCTTCTACTCCCCGCACCTCCGAGGTGCCCGGGAGACGCCCGAGAGGCCAGACGCCGAGGATGCAAAGGAAATTACGGCAAAGGAAGATAAAAAATCAGAGGCGAAAGGCGCTGTCTTAGGACGTTCGGGGAGCGAGGAGGACGCTGACCTGGGAAAGGTTTTAAGGAGCGAAGCTGTAACTGAGAAGAACGGGGCAAACGCTGGCCATCTTGACTTTTTGCCAGGGCCGGGCCTGGAGCAGGCGCCCGGGGGGGTGAGCAGCGCAGAAGTCGACGGAAAGGGGATTGCCGACGAGGCCACCGCGAAGCCCCCCGAAGAAGCAAAGTCGGAGCTCCCCGGCTCTCTGGAGTCCCAAGCAAAGAATGAACCGAGTTCTAAGGAGGCAGTGGCCAGGGTCGGCCCCAGCGTGCAGTCTTTCCCCACCGAATCGGTGGCGCCGGCCTCAAAGCCAGCAGGGAGAGCACTTACGAACGGCGCCGTAGCCGGCACAGCGGAGGAACGGGGCGCTCATCCTGAGCCCCAAATGGATGCTACGGGGACACCTGTGGCGAACGGCACCCCGAGGACGCAGGAAGGATGGCTGCCCAGCCCTCCAGACTCCGGGGCGGAGGACACCAAGCTGGACCGGAAGGCGCTGGCAAACGGGGGCGCCGCGGCCACCCAGAGCCCAGGGCCGGAGGCTTCAGCGGCCCTTGAGGCGGAGGAAACCAAGCCGGAGGAGAAGCCGCCGTCCAGTGACGCCGAGAAGCTGGTCCCCCCTCCGCGGCTGAAGCGGATGGCGTCCCGGGGCAGCGTGGAGCGCCCCTTGCAGAGGCTCCCGTCGGTGGGCAGTCAGGGCCCCGTGGCTCCCCCCCGGCCCCACGCCGCCAAGTCCACGTTCGCTCACGTGCGGGACGCGGACCTGGTGAAGAAGCGGCGCTCGCGGCTGAAGAGCGAGTCCCTGTCGGTCGACGAAGCGGACGCCGCCGGCCCGTTGGAGGATCCCGCCCAGCGGCTGGCCGCGGTGAGTGGGTCCTGCTCCGGAGGAAATGGCGTCCACGTCGCGGTTGCTTGTAGTCCGCTTTTCTCCGCGGGCTGGGAATGTCCTCTTGCAAGAGAGTTGATCTCTCTTGGTTGAGTTCTGTCCTTGGGGCTGTAAAGAGTGCCTCTGAGCATGCGCAGAGTCCTGTTTCCCGCCCCCGCTGTCCCCTGTTTGAGTTCAGGTGGCAGAAACCTTTGGGCATCTTGAATTTCTGATGGGTCTCTTGCTTTAGAAACGAGTCGAGGGCCGAGGCATCATCGGGAAATGGGCCAGTGGCGTGGTCCAAACTGGCCTTGTGTGTGGTCTTGTCTACCTTCCGTGGCACCAGCTTGCCCCCCGTGGCTTCCTCTAACCTTTTCTCCCTGATTCTCTCCTGCGTTTAACCCTTTTACGAGCCTGTTTATCTGTCTCGGTTTCTGCACCCTCGGGCCACAACGACGTGGAACGGTGGGGCTTTCTGCGAATCCCACAAGAACGTGGATGGCCTTTCAGCGTCACACTTCTTGTGTCCTGCCTGCTTTCGTTCGTTGTCGTGAGCCCGTGCACCAATATTGAGTTTCAGTAACCAGCTCTTCAGCTGGAGGTTGGGAGTTCGATTCCCCGCTGGTGCCTCTGTAAGTGTGGCCGGACTGGATGAAGGGTCCCTTCCGGCTCTGCCCATTCTAAGACAGGCATCATCATCATTTCTAGGATCTCGGAAATAACACCAGAGCTACAAAACGTGGCAATATTAGGAACAGCATACATACATCTTGAACGGATGCTTCGGTTTTTGGTTTAAACTGGCATCTCTTATACAACAGCTGTCAATTTTTTTTTATAATTTTGATTGACCGTGTCTGATATTTTTGAATAATAATAATAATAATAATGAAAAAGGGAGGGAGGCTGTGCCCACCGGCCGCCCCATGCTCGGGAGGAAGGCAGCTGGGGTGGTTTGCAACCTGCACGCCCCCCCCAAGATGGAAAGTTTCAAGGGGGATCATTTCCTGTCGTGCTTCTTCTAAAACCAAAATGCGACATGGCTGTTTTCCGTGTCGATCGCCCACCCACCGTTTCGTCTCTCCCTTCTCACCCCCAGGACGGTGGCTACGAGGAAGTGTCAAGGGGCCGACAAGGAGCAGCGAAGGGGCCGCCTCCGCCCGGTGAGTCTGGACTTGTGCAGGATTCCTAGCGGATCGTTTTCTCTTGTGGCGGGTTTTTTTTGGGGGTAGGGGGCTCTTGAGGGACTCCAGAGGCCATCTAGTCTAGCCTCCTGATGATCTCGATCTCTTTCTCCTACAGCATCACCTACAGAAACCTCTCAAGACCCATCCATGGACTCTGGCGTCAAGACCAGCACGAAAGAAGAAGAAATTCCAGTAAGCTGGAGGAAGCGGGCAGCGGGGCCGAGGAGGCAGCTTGCCAAAGCTTCAAGCTCCCTTTCCGAGGTGGTAGCTCTTCTCTAAAAAACAGCCAAGATCGGCCAGGAAAAGCAGTTGGAAGCAACCTCAACACTTGGGATCCCCAGATGTTCTCGGACTACAACTCCCAGAAGCCTTCACCGCTAACTGGGCTGGCCAGGATTTCTGGGAGTTGTAGTCCAAGAACATCTGGGGGCCCAAGGTCGGGGGAACCCCTGGCGTAGCGCTTTCACAAAGCACATATTGTGTCGTCGGAGAAGATGTGGATCCCGAGTTCCAGTCTCCACCCTTTTCAAGTGTGAGCGGTGCAGAACCTGAAAGCCATTCTCCGCAGGGGAAAAAATCTAGATGTGTGCAAAAATTTATGCTCGTCAGGTGTTCCTCCCTTTCCTCCCTTAGAAGCTCATGAAAAGCTCTTAAGCAGACAAAAAACAAACTATTTAAACGACGCAAGGCCCCGTGATCTTGGAGGACTGAATGGCTGCCATACATTGAGCAACTGCTGAAGGTTTTTTTTCTTCTAATAGTGTAGGGACGAGGTCCCCAGACAATGGTATTTAACAAGGGCAGCGGTTCTCCTGCTTCTGAAATGGAACTTTAAGAGGGCAGGGCTCTGAGAGGAACATGGTTTTGAGTGTCTAGGGTGTGGGCGTGTCTTCTTCCTTTAGTAGGTGGGGCCACGGCTGGAAAATGGGCCAGGCCACGTTACACAAGCTCCGCCTCCCTGTCTTATATTGGCGTTTAGGTAGGCTTTGAATGTCTTCTTCGGCTTCTCCCTAGAAATTCCAAGATACCAGCCAGTATGTGGTCGCTGAGCTTCGGGCTCTGGAGAACGAACAGAGGCAAATCGACAGGCGGGCGGCCGTCGTGGAGAAGGAGCTGCGGGCGCTCATGGAATCGGGTGCGAATCTGGGGTGGGGGGGGAGATGGAGGTTCTGTGGTGGGAGCCCCTGCTTTCTAAGCCGCACAGTCTGCTAGCAGGCTATAAAAGGAATAAATATCCATGAATTAAATTTTATCCCCGTTGCATCTTACTCCTGTAAAGTGCACAAATCTTCCTTTCAAAGCAGGTGTCTTTTGAAGACTACGTTTGAAAAAGTTTTCAGAACCATTGAATCTCAAAAAAACCCCTTCAGACTCCAGATTTTAAAAGCAGAAAAAATTAAATGGGAAAATTAAAATTGAAATTAAAAAAAAAAACAATTGCATGTCTGGGTTTTCATATTCTTCTTCTTTTTTAGGTGCGGACAAGTTGAAAGAGGAAGAACTCATCCAGGAATGGTTTACTCTGGTGAATAAGAAGAATGCCCTGATCCGGCGACAGGACCAGTTGCAGCTGCTGTGAGTATACAGTGGTGCCTTGCTTAATGACGATAATCCGTTCCAGGAAAATTGCCGTTAAGCGAAAACATCGTAAAGCGAAATTAAAAAGCCCATTGAAACGCATTGAAAACTCCTCAATGCGTTCCAGTAGGCTAAAAACTCACTGTCCAGCGAAGATCCTCCATACAGCAGCCATTTTCGGTGCCTGTATAGCGAGGAATCCATCCCTAAGCACAGCGGCAAGCCATTTTAAGCACCCGGAGGCTATTTTGAAAACCTGACGATCATCTGTTTTTGATCGTCATAAAGCAAAAATCCGTTCCCAAAGCAGGGAACCGGTCATCGCTAAGCAAAATTCCCCCATTTAGACCAGCGTTTTGCGATTGCAATTGCGATCGCAAAAACATCATCGTAAAGCAGATTCATCGTAATGCAGGGCACAACTGTATAGGGATGAAGGAATAGTGCAAGAGGAAGGCCTTTTTCTTGCTCCATCGGGACCACCCCTAATTTTTCTCACTGCCAGCAATTTCAGGGAGTCCCAAATGCTGGAATGGATACGTTCCAGCATTCCAAACATGCCCGTCCCAGATCCGGGAAGAGTATGCTCACTCCCATCACCAAAATCTCTTTTTAAAAGATTTAGCCCCCTCACGCCCTCTAGTGGCCAACAAATAAATAAATACAATTAGAGAACAGGCTGAAAATTCGGGCCTAACCCTGTGAAATAATGGGAAGGAGGACTTTCTGAACCCATTATTTTTTTTAGAAAAAAGTTTGTCGGGGCAACGGAGAGGAAGGGGGTCTGCATTTGGGAGGGGCACGGGGCCTTCCATCCACCCCTGTATGTTCTTCCAGGCGGTGGCCTTGATTTGGCATCGTTTGTGAATGCTTCACTTTATTGATTTGTGGCTTAATCGCATTTAATTATTCATCCATTCATTGCGTGTTACACCCTCAGAGGGACACCCGGGGGCACCCCTCTCCCTGTTGTTAGCCTCACAACTAGCCTGTGGGGGGTTCAAGATTGTGTTGCATGTTTGCACCTTACTGATTTTATTGGCATGCACTCTGATGCAGAGTGAAATATTATTATTATTGAATGGTGTAAGATCATGCAGTGAGCTTCAGAGGTGAATGAAAACTAAAACCCGGGTCTCCCTCATCACAGGTGAAGACTCTTTAACTTTGTCACACTGTCGTCTCCTGCTCCACTGGCCGTTGGTGGCCATTTCCCTGCTTTTTAATTTGCCCCACAGCGGTCTGCTACTCAGGGCCGAGTCGGAGGCGTTTTCTTGTTCGGGGCCTGAACTGCTTCTTCTTCTTCTTCCAGGACGGAAGAGCAGGATCTCGAGAGGCGCTTTGAACTCTTGAGTCGGGAACTGAGAGCAATGATGGCGATCGAAGGTGAGAGACCTTGGCTTTGCTCACAGACAGAGCAGCAGGACGAGTATTAAAAAAACGGAAAGCGGGACAAAGCACGAATTTTTTTGGGGGGGGGAATTCTGTCGTCCCTAATCTGTATTTTTTTAAAATTTGCCTTCCCTCCGGTCCTGCCTCTGACGGCGCAGACTGGCTCAAGACGGAAGCCCAGAAGCAGCGAGAAAAGCTGCTCCTGGAGGAACTGGTGTCACTGGTCAACCAGAGGGACGAACTGGTGAGGGATCTGGACATCAAAGAGAGGATGTGAGTATTGTACACCTGTTCTTGTTTGACAGGCAAAAGAGGGAGCCAACTAGTGGTGGGTGGTCGCCTGTCTCCGTTTGACGGGCAAAAGAGGGAGCCAACGAGGGGTGGGTGGTTTTATGGGCAAGAGGGGAAAACCCCGGTTTCCTGTCCCATTTCCCAGGAACCGGGGTTTGAGATCAGCGGTTTCTCCAATTTGTAGACACCCTCTCTGCCATCTGAGATAGTAACCTTGCCATCTGAATTAGTAACCCTGAGCTTAGGTGGACCCACAGTGCCTTTGGTGTAAGGCAGTGTTTTCTATTCCCATTCAAACGGCCTTTTATTGAGTATCTTGAGGACTAGAATCTCCAGTTTGTTCCACTTGCGGGGCAGTGCGGTGCTGCCTATTTCCCAGCGATTACACGACACATGGGGAAATGCGCTCCAGCCCGACCCTTATTCGTGGCCAAGCTGGACCTTTTCGGTCCGATTATAGGGCTTTTACTTTTGACGGGGTGGTAGTGGTTCAGGCTGAAACGATTCATCTGAAGATGGAAGGATACTGAAACCCATTAAAGCAACCCTTTCGGATGAGATCAGACGCCTCCCTTTCCAGCCTTCGGAATTAACCTTTTGTCTTGGGGGGGGGGAAGCTGGTCTCTAATCTGGATAAGACTTGGGAAGAAGGGGAAGCCTCGGGAATGATGGAGGAATTGTTGTAGATCCCAAGCTGAATATGAGCCAACCGTGTGATGCGGCAGCAAACAAGGCCAATGCTATTTGAGGCTGCATTGACAGAAATATCGTCTCCGAATCCTATGAGGTGCGGCAAACAAGGCCAATGCTATTTGAGGTTGCATTAACATAAGTCTAGTCTCCGAATCCTATGAGGTACTGATTCCCCTCTATTTGGCACTGGTTAGGCCTCTTCTTACATCTTGTGTCCAGTTCTGGACATGATGCTTTAAGAAGGATGCTGACAAATTGGAGAAAGTTCAGAGGAGGGCGACAAGGAGGATCAGGGGACTGGAAACCAAGCTTTATGAGGAAAGGCTGGAGGAACTGTTTAGCCTTGAGGAAAGAAGACCTGAGGGGCGATAAGATAGCATTTTTCAAAGACTTGCAAGTTTGTCCTACAGCGGAGGGGCAGGATCTGTTCTCGATCCTCCCAGGGTGCAGGACACGCAACCACGGGGTGTGTGTGTGTTGGACTAGATGGCCTTAAGATGCCCCTTCCAACTCCGTTCTTCTGTGACGCTATGATCTTTCATGCTCCCTCGCTTCTTCCTTCCTTCCCTCCCTCTTCTCTCCACCTGCCTCCCGCCACCCCAAACTTCCCCCAAACCTTTCAGAGCCATGGAAGAGGACGCGCGACTCGAACGAGGGCTCCAGCTGAGGAGGAGCAAGCTCAGCCGGAAGGAGAAATGTCGCGTCAGCTGAGATGGGCCGAGACGGGGAGCCGACAACAGCCCCATCCTTCCCTTGAGGGCGGGGGGGGGACAGCTACTTAGGGCGCTCTTTGCCCTCCCGGTGCCCGGACACCCCCTGCCATGCCACGGCGTTGGTCCTCTTGGTGGACCCTTCAGGGTCCGGCCCACGGCTTCTGTTTTCGTGCCAAAAACCGGTGTGTGTGTGTGTTTGTGTGTGTGAGATGGTTCTTCCTTTTAATTGTGGGTCCCCCACCCCGAATTTCTTTTCCTCTCTCCCGACCCACGCCAGAGATGGGTTTGGAACGTTTTGGAGGGCAGGCCCCACGGACGCGAGCTTTCCGGAGCGGGGCAGAAGCCAGCCTCAAAAAAAATAATAAGCGAACAAACCAACACGTCCTTCCAAGTTTTAGGAACTATTTATTTTTGTGTGTTTGTGTGTGCTTGTGCGCAGGGGAGTTGGTCCAAAGCTGGTGCCACGTTGCCTTCCCGTTTTTACGAAGCTTTCTGGCCTCCGTCTGGAGGGCCTTTGAATTTTTTAGCGCGCTCTGCGTTTCTTCTTCCTCGCCGGTGGTACAAAAGCCACACAGTGCCTTGAACGCGGCTGCAGCCAGCCGTGAGGCTGGAAAACACCCCCCCCTCGAGATTCTCCCTTTTGCACCCCCCCCCAACCCACACCTCGAGCCCTCCAGCCCCCTTCCTGGTCATCTGCAGTCAATTTGTACCCGAGTTTGAAATAAACGTCTCGAAAGATAATCCGGTAATATAAGAATGTGGTGTGTGTGGTGTCAACACATAAATTGGCAAGCCTGTGGCTTGGGGGGCTGCAATGACTGTCCTGTCAGGAGGATGACTGAGGATGATTCTCCTCGCCTCGTTCCTACCTCTGGAGAAGGGAAATTCTCAATTTGAAGGGTATTTATTTCCAGCCACCACTTATAGGTGCAGAAGCTGGACTATTAAGAAAGCTGATGGGGAAGGGGAAATTGATTTTTTTTGAAAAGCGGTGCTGGAGGAGAGCTTTGGGGGGGATACCCTGGACGGCCAGAACGACAAACCAGTGGGGTCCTAGAGCAGATTAAGCCTGAACTCTTGCTGGAGGCGAAGATGATGAAGCTGAGGTTGGTCCTCCTTTGCACCCGTCATGAGAAGGCAGGATTAGGTCTGGAGAAGGCCGTCAGGCTGGGAAAGGTAGGAAGGCAGCAGGAGAAGAGGAAGACCCCAATACGAGATGGACAGACTCCCTCAAAGAAACCACAATGCTTGAGTTTGCAAGAGCAGAGCAGGGCAATTCAGGAAATACATTTTGGAGTCAGCTCATTCATGGGATCGCCGTGTGAGTCGGAGGAGACTTTATGGCATGGAACAAGAATAAGAATCGGGCGGCGTGGCTTGGTGTCCTCTACGCGCCATTGCCTCTGCTCGCTTCCTGCTTTGTGGCACTTGATCAGTGAGATTTAGGCCAAGCGTGTTGTGCCACTATTAAAAACGCAAGAGGATTTGGGATCGTGGAGATAAAGTGGGGGGCGTGCGAGCCATCCAGTTTTTAAAAACGGAGTGCCTGCCGATGCTAAACAGGGCGGTTGTGCATTTAAAAGTCAAGTCCTTCCTGGAGGCTTTGAGAAACAGCAAATTCACCTTTTTTGCTTCTAGCTTGGGAAAAAGAGGGCCACAGTAAAGCAGCCCCAGTGGGCCACGTGGGGGTCCACCCCCTTTTAAACATCAAAATGGGTGATAGCAGGTCCCTAAGATGTCGGGCAAGATGGGCCACACGCGTGAGATCCGTCCGGGCTCTTGTAGGGAAGGCAAAGTCTCGAGAACGCTGAAACAGGAGAAGCCCAGTTGAACCTCCAGAGGCAGGAGTAGTCTACCAGCGCTTAGCCGTGCAATTTTGGGGTCCATCACTCTTAAGGCCAGCCCAGTTATTGTGGCTCTTGAGAATAGAAAATGCTGTGATTGCTGCTTTCCCCCCCCTTCCTGGAAGCAAGGGAAATCAACAATAAGTCATTAAATTAATCATGTACTGTATAGATTTGCGTTTTTAATTCCATAAATCATTCCCTGTGGCTGAAGACAGCTCCTTATTATCCGGCAGTGACCTTCTTTGTGTAGGAAAAGCAACACCGTCTGGAGCGGCATAGAGTCAGCGAAACCAGGACTGGCCGTCCACACCTTGTTGGACTACCACTCCCATCATCCTAGGCAGCACAATTGGGGGTGATGGTTGTTGTAGTCCAGCAAATGGCCCACTACAGGAGAACCAACGGCTGGTGTCAGGATGCAAGAGGATGCATACGGTGGAGAGGAGACTGAGAAAAATACATCTTCCTTCCCCAAAGTCTAGAAAATAGGGAAGCCAGAAGTCCAATCTCAAACCTGGCTGCTCGAGTGTGTTGGGACTACAATTCCCATCAGCCCCTGCTCACCCAAAAGAGGCCAGGAGGGCTGAGGTCATGGGACCTGCACCCCACAGGAAAGCTGACCTAACCCATCAGAAGACCCGTGCTCAGAACTGGGAACCTTGCTTTGGACTACAACTCCCACTGCTGGTTGTGGGGGGGTTCTGGGAGTTGTAGTCCCAAGAACATCTGGAGACTCCCCGGACACCACTATGGGTAGCAGGCCATGGCCTGTCCAATCCAGGAAGAGCCTGCTCTTCAAAGCCCTTCGGGAGAAGAGGGCAGTCAAACCTCCAGCCGAGGAGCAGTTTACCTGTAAATAGTAAACTGGCATGGATGGGAGAGAGAGAGCAGCAGCCAGAACGGAGGGGGGGGATCCTTCCTGGGACACATGGGCCGCCCTTCTGTGGAGGAGCCGGAGCTTGGATACCTTTGGTGCGGCAAAGCCTCCAGGTGCAGGAGCAGTCTACCTGTCCTGATGAACGTCCAGGGAGCAGCCACCGCTGGATGCAGCCAGGCGGGCTGTCCTGCCTGCCGATGGGGTGTGCCGGAGGTGGAGAGGCTGGCACGCAGCCCTGGGGCGGAGGCAAGCCTCAGGCGGCCGCGGGAGCAGGGTCAACACCGGGGCCGGGCCGACTGCTCCCCGCCCAGGACACAGCACCGCCTTTCTTGATCTGCTGGCCGGGCAACCTCCCTCCCTGGCACTGGGCCGGAGGATGGCGAAGGTGCCAGTGGCCAAGGCGCGCTCCTGGCAGTATGCGCTGCTGCTGGGCGCCTACGGGCTCTACCTCTTAGGGGGCGCTGCTGTCCTGGCCGCCCTGGAGGGGCCCGCCGAGCTTGACCGGTTGGACAGCCTGCGCCAGGCCCAGGGGCACCTGCTGGCCGGGCACCGGGCGTGCCTGTCGGAG